TACAAAGCTGGTCTGTCCTAAATGGTGGTTAGAAGTTTACTTTCTTCAGCTGCTTGTGAAAAGTGTTGTTTGGATTAAAGAAGCAAAAATGACAAATGAAGAGAAACAACCATACATTGAATCTATGTGGCGTCTGTCACTCTATACTCCTGTCTTGTACAGTTATTAAAATATAGCTCACTGACAGTTCTTGAGCAGATTCATTGTAAATTGGTTGAGGGAAAAGATGTCTCGAAGTTCAGATGATGCATTTTACACCAAAAAAAGCAAAGACAAGATGGATGGATGGATGGATGGATGGATGGATGGATGGATGGATGGATGGATGGATGGATGGATTCCTCATTTTCTAAAAAAAAAAAAGTAATGCACGCATTCCCTTCAAAACCTGACCTGTACATAAAATATTCAGTATCAGTAAACTAACTTTAATTGCATTGTCTCCTTCAGTTTTAAAAATTGAAAGTAAAAAATAAGTGTTTATAAAAATTCCATTTTATATTTATGCATCTCCCAACAATAATCTATGCAATGTAACGTTTTGTAAAAGCTCCATTCAAGAAGCTAATGCAGTCTCTCTTTATTTTTGCCTTTGTTGTAATATCTTAAAAATACAATTTTAAGTTTCATCTAGAGATACGTGTTCTTCATATAGATTGTTAGATTTTGGTGCAGTGTTACCAGATGTTTACATATTAATAACAGTGAATTTAATCTCCTAATGCTTCGTGATAGAAAGACGCTAATACCTCACAAGTTGACAGATGTTTACATAACTGTGTTAGCAGATTGATATTTTAATAATCTTATTTAGCAAATTAACATAACTGTTTAAGATTCATTTATCATGATATGTAAAACTGGACAATAATGTCCTCACCAATCTTCTGTTATGATATGCTAAAGCTTGTAAATCATTTAGTCTGCTAAATAAATGGATTTCCAATTAAAATGAAGCGTTAAAAACCAAATGTTCTTTAAGCTAAAAGGTAAAAGTGAGCCGTGTTGCGTAACTGTCACCATCACTGTCATATGAACATTTGATGAGCTCATTTGTGAGACAAGTCACCTACACACACATGCCAGGCAGATAATACAGCTCCTACATTGTGTCTAGCCATCACAATGGCAGTGGTGTGTGTGCTCAAGTCTCAGTAGCCCAGCATATGGCCTGTGACCCTATAGCCCCTCCGTCTGTGTCATTATGATACTGATAGTGTGGCTGTGAATAGAGCCAGTCAGGACTCAATAGAGAAGACTGGGACCATCACATAAAGGCCATGGCGTCTGTCTTTCACCGCAGACTGATTACTGGACTGCGTGTGCGCACAGTCATGCATGTGTAGACAGGAGGATCTAATGAGATGCTGTTGGATTATTGATGCTCTGCCTCTGCAGCCTACCTGCTGTTAGGTGGGCTGGCAGACGGTGAGTTTGATTTGATTAGTGGGCTTGTGTTTTGTATTCCACCAGTTTGGGAAAAATATTAAGTAATATATATATTTTTTTATAATTCTTTATCAAATAATACAGGGGTTCCCAACCCTGGTCCTTGAGGAACACCATCCTGCATGTTTTAGTAATTTCTCAACTCCGACACACCTAATTTTAATCAATGGGTAATTAACAGGCTCCTGCAGAACATGAGGAAGTAATTAAATAACTGAATCAGGTGTGTTGGAGCAGGGAAACAACTAAAACATGCAGGGCGGTGTTCCTCAAGGACCAGGTTTGGAACCACTGAAATAATCAAATCAATCAGTAATGGGCCTGAAACTCCTTTATTATAGTCAGAAAAACAAAAAAATGCCACATGACTTTACTATCCCTGGTAGTTTCCGCAGTTTGTACTGTAATACTCAGCTTCTAAGTTCAAATGTTACTATAATGGGTTGTGTCTGTACATCTATAGGCCCTTGATCAGTGGTGCAGGTAGAACAGCAGCATCCACATATTTTATAGGGGGCAAGGTTTAAACCTGAGGATTTACTCTGCCACTGTTTGACTTTAAAACTACATTGCAATCAGACAAATGCACATATTCTTCATCAGTTCAAATTTGTTTCATCACCTCAAATGGTTCCGTCCAGCTTGACTAGTGCACTACTAGCTTGCCAGTCAGATAACATTCATTAGTGGAGAAATGTGATGAAAGCAGAAGTTGTTTTTCATTAAGTGTTTAAGCCATGCGGCATCTCTGACTGTGAATCAGAATGAATAGTGAAAAAGGTGTGATATCACACTTTTCAACAGTGCAAGACAACTGTGAGTGTAACCCAAGTTTATTTTTGCTCCTCTTCCATACAGCAGACATCAGCCGGAAGCACAGGCATGTGTGAGCATTCAAGTGAGCATATTTGTGTCGGAACAGTCATCAAGGCTAATTGGGCTAATTTGGGCCCAAAAATGAAAGCTTTATAGAACTAAATCTAGTTTTAGATGTCAACTAGATGTCTGCATTTAGCACCACAGATTGGTTACACCATCTGAGATGTTGACTTTTAATATACAAGTACAGTCCATTTATATATATATTATTGTTATTATTATTATTACAATTTTATTTCATTCTGACTGATTGTATGAGTGTATGATTGTTTTATGTGTACAGCACTTTGGTCCTGTGGGTGTTTAAAGTGCTCTATAAATAAAGCTGACATGGTATGGTTAAATTAGGGAGGGAAGGGGAGAGAGAGTCCCATTGTTGTGTATAATATCCATCCATTGTTTTATACGCCTGTTGAAGGCAAGCATAATATGGTTTAGTCTCCGTACGAATGGATGTAAACTTTCTGTTGCCTTGTCCGTAACTTCTATACCGCTCAAGATAATTTAACTAAACTTCATGCATCGTCATTAGTCAGACTGCCACGTAGACTTTCCATCACCCCAGGTCTAAGGTCAAGGTCGCAAATCAAAGTCGAAAGTTGTACAGTAGTCCCTCGTTTATCGCGGGGGGTTCCGTTCTCAGTCCACCCACGATAAGTGAAAAACGGCGAAGTAGGAATTCATTCAACCTTTATTTAGACAGGTTAATCCCATTGAGCCTCGAGGACTCATTTACAAGAGAGACCTGATTTCAACAAAGAATGATGACAACAATGGAAAACAACGACAACAATAGACAGTTGTAAAAAGTCATACAGATTTTTTAATACAAATAAAAGACAAAAAAGTAATAAACACCTAGATTATAAGGTGAATGTAGAAAACTAAAAAAAGGAACTTGTCTGCATTAGTCCTTGCTAGGAGTCCAACAGATTCTTAAAGCCACTTAGAGAGGTCAAGGTAGAGAGGTTCAGGTCTTTTTGTAAGATATTCCAGGAAACAGGAGCGGAGTAGGAGAAGGCCCTTTTGTCAAGTTCAGTCTGCACTGAGGGGACACTGCAGGTAATAATGTCCTGAGAGCGCACGCTGTAGCTGCACTCACGCAGAGACATTTAGGAGGAGATGTATGAAGGCAGCAGACCAAGAAGTGATTTAAAGATGAAAATGTACCAGTGAGAGTCTGTGTGAAGTTAATGATGACCAGTTAACCAGTGGTTACAGGGTGCAGTGATGGGTACGATAGTTGTACAATTAGTAGTACTAGTTAAATTTAGTATATATATATATATATATAATGGTATTTTAAACCGTTCCCACACTTTTGCACTATTCTAAACAATGTTTCTAAACTTTAAACGCCCTAAAAGAGCACAGAAGGTCATGATGTCATGATCTCACTCTCTCTGCCACCTGTCAGCACTTTCAGCCACGCCCACTTCTCCGCTGCAGACCAGAGATCGGCATGATGCTGCAGAAGAGAGCTTCTCCCTGCACTTGTGGGCTGCACACCGGTGCAGCAGGTGCTAAATAATTTAAAATTTATTTTAAATAAAAAAATCCATGCCAATCTTGCGGCTCATCCATCAATCAGCCAGTTGTTTGTCATGTCCAGTCTTATTTTGAACAACCGCGAAAGAGCGAGTCCGCTTAAGTCGAACCGTGAAGTAGCGATAGACTACTGTACAAGGTCTTTATTTGTCCAGGCCATTGCTATAGATTGCGTTATAGCTATATGATAGTTTGACAGTGGGTGATAATGTGCTGTATGCAGTACTCATTTTTCTTTACCCATTTGTTCCTGTTCAGGATCGCAGTGCGTATTCACAGCTGGTGATTAAATTTGTATCTTCTTTATTTTCGTCCTCCATTTTGAAACTCTTGTTCAGTTTACACCAGAATCAAAGCTCTGACTGAAGGCACAAGTGATCCCAGCAGCTTGTTGTACTCATTTATTTACAATACTATTATTGCTGTTTGTTTTATCAACCAAAAAAAATTTAAATTGCATCTATTCTGTTTGAATGAAAATGCTGAGCTACATGGCAGCTCAACTAGTTGGTATTGTTGCCTCACTGCAAGCTCTTGGATTCATGTTTTCCTCTCATCTTTTTATTGAATTTAATGAATTCTTTGTCAGAAAAACAATCATCCTTTGTGCTGGCAGGGTGTTAAAAATGGAACAAACCAACACGTGTTGTGAAACTAATTACAGCAGCAGCTACAGACAAATTGTACCTTTGACATGTTTTTTTTTTCACACGTTTTCCAACAGTTTTAATCGTCCGTGCTGATGATTCAGTGGAGAATGTTTCATGTCAGTCCAGGCTGTAAAAGTACCCCAGGTGTGAGTCACTGTCTGTGGAGGGAAAAGAAATTGGACTTTATTTTTATTTTACTGGAAGCAGGAGCTCTTCTTTCCTTCACAACTCTTCAACGCTGGAGAGTTTTAAAGTCACGTTTGTGATTTTGTCGTTTTTAAACGGTCTTGTTTTAATATCTCTAAGCATCAAAGTGACTTATTTTAACAATTTAATACCAACAGCTGATGTATGTCCGAACGATCAAAATAAAAGTCCCATTTTATTTCCGCACGAAGCAAATAATAAAACACTGACGTAGTTCTAATCTTTTTTTTTTTTGTTGTTTTTCCCTGTTTTTGTGTGTGTGAATAG